ATCAGATCTGATGCTGTAGAATACAATATATGTGTATATGCATATGTTCAAATACTGTGTGTATATTTAAAAGATCTATTGGTGGTGGTCTGTAGAACGATTATTCCCTTTACTCTCAAAATTTTAATGGCATTACTTGCAAAGTCTAAGTGTACAGTATTTTCCTACACTCCACCAAGATAGGTATTATTTATATCGAAGTCAAATATTCATATGCATTTTAAGGTATTACACAGGTAACATTGCCATTTTTGCAAATAAAATCACTTTTTGGCAGGAAGGAATGCTAAAAATACCTTTTTATAAGGTCATTACCCCAACCAAATGACTGCTAAAAAGCCAGTGAGATGACTCCTGTTCTTGTACGAATTTCAGTGACTGTGGGCAGAGCCCTCTCGGTAGGTGAAAGTCACTGCGTGGTTCATGCAGTGCCACTGTTGTCCCTTTTGGCTAATTAAGGGCATGCAGAAAGAAACTAGCGTCCTAAAATAGAAATGGCAACTGGCAGTGTTTGATTTCATTGATTGCTTAGAAGCAGAGACGGTCCCAGGCTACGAACCCAAACGACCCCTCCGTTTCGGAGGGAGCCGAGTGGGGGCCGCAGGCACTGGCCGGGCTCGTCCCTGCAAGCAGCGGAGTCCACCCTCCGCGACGTGGGCAGAGGAGGGAGCAGCTACCCCACGGCGGGGGCTGTGGCGGGGATCCCCCTGCCCAGGCTGGTGTTACCCTGCATTTGTGACGTACCCGAGAGAAACGTGCATGGTTTCAGTCCTGTTCTCACTACTACGTTTGCTCTGCATGAAGCTATCTGGATCCCTCAGACCGGCAGGAATGATACTAAACACTTTGGTGATATTCGATGCGTGGTTGTTTACTCGTAGTTCCAAGCATCACCTTTGATTTCAAGGGTGGGGATGCCCTAAGAGTTTGTTCCAGAACCAGTTGGTTGCAAGTGCACCTCTTATCTATGCCTTACAAACTTCAGAGGCCATATTCAAAACAGGGTTTTATCAGTGTATGCAAGGGGGTGCAACCCCTCTTCTCTTCCTCCCCAGGTCAAACAGTATGGACAGTTTTCACACATATCTACCTGTATAACCCTCTGTACCTCTCATAACTGGTCAATGACTGTAACAGGTTACATCAGGTGTTTTTTCTACATACTTTTTACACAAATTCTATGCGATTAATGTAACTTAATTCAATGCATCATTTTATTGTACTAGTTCTTAAGCTTGTCTTTATTTTTTTTCTAGGTGACTGTGGTTTCTTGTGATTTTTATTGTATAAATAAATGAGGTGGCTGTTGATGCTTACTCTCTGTTACTAAGAATTTTTACCTTTTTGGAAGAAAGCATTGCTATGAACTAATGAATTTAAAACGTCATTTACTCATTGTAAATACAGTATTGTGCAAAAAACAAAAATGAAAAAAAAACACCCGACCCTTTTCATTCATTTGAATTGCTAGTGTTAACTGAATTTTGTCTAGACACCATTTCTGTTGATGAAATAAAGACATATCATTATGTATTGTAAATCGACTCATCTTGACTCTGAAATTGATGTCGCAGTGCTCGGGTTAATGCGCGGGCTGTAGATGAGATTCGGGAGGGTAGGTTGGATGTGGCTGATACTGCCCGATGAATCTCTGGACTGATGAAGTGACCTCCACTCACGCGGTCCCATTGCTAGTTCACGAGTCGTCTTTGATCCAGGGATCCAGTTATCTTTGATCTGCTGCAGGAACAGCCGAGGGTATTTCATTGCAGAGATGAAATAAGTTGTTTTAGAAGATCAAATAAGCTGTATCTATACCCATTCCCCTAGCACATGACTTCTTAAGGCAATTCTGCTAAGTCTTTGTTTTGGTCTTCTAAAGTGTCAGTGTACGTGTTGGGAGGCAAGGGGAGCGGTTGGGGTTTGTTTCCCCTTTACAGAAAACCTGAGAGAAATTGAGAGAGGTTTCTGTAGAAACAAAAAATAGCTGAAAACCTCTGTGTGTAACCCAAATATGGCCGTGTTCCTTTCTGAAGGAGGAACTCGTGCCGTCAGTTAGCATCACGTATACTGCAGAAGATCCAGAAAAGAATTTCTTCCAGGAAAGAAGAGATTATAACAGCCTTAGGTCCTATTACCACAAGCAGGGCGTGGGGTCTAGCGGGGGCCATTTGCTCTCTGGGACTCCCAAATGCATGGCAGCCACCTCTCTCCTTGGGCTGGATGCAACCGGAGAGCCTGCTCAGCAGCTTGGCAGGAGGAGACCAGGGAAGGGGAGGGTGGCATGACCAGTTGTCCTACCCTGGTCCACACACTTGCTGGGATGCTGATGTGGGGAGTGGGGAGGAGGGCAAGCTGCTAGAGGGAGGTCCCCAGGCTTTTTTATCACCAGTCAGGAAACCTGAGATCACGTGCCCTGGGCCAGCATCCTTAGGACGCAAACTGCATCCTCCTCCATCTGCAGCAGTGAAAGTTGCCTGCGATTTTTCAGTCCTAAAATTCTCATGGAAGAAAATCAAACGTCACTTTCCAGAGTTCCCCAGTTTTCTGAATCATCCTGTTGAGCGTATATGAAGAAAGCTTCCCGCCCCCTCAAATCTGTCAGATGTAGCATCCACTGCATCTACACATAACCTGGCAGTAGAGAATGTACTTTAGCAAAGCTGTTTCTCCATCCCTGCTCAGTTGTTGCTGGCACTTAATGGCCACTATCTTAAGTATTTCTTTTTTTTTGCCTTAAAATACTGAACAAATGCACAGGCAAACTGTCAATGAGTTTGTAGTGAGGCAGAATATGAATGTAAAACACGAGCACTGGAACAAAACCACTGTAATCTCGAGCAATCTTTATGCTTGACTCTTTTTTTTCCCCTGCTGTCCTGCTTTCTGCTAGCCTTGCCTTAGAGTCGCCAAGTCGTAGAGGATTTTTATGCTTAGGGAAACTGGCATAGCAAACGAGCTAGTTCCAAGCATTGCTTGCCGTTGAGGTGATAACAAATGCGAGCTGTGATAAGCTTGACAAATAAAAGCAGCCAAAAGCATGTGGCCAGAAACAGGGTCAGGGACAGTCAGAGGAAGGTGCTTTATTTTCCAGCTGCACAAGTGGAAGGACTGCTTTCTTGGGCCGCATACAACCCAGAAATCCAACCCTTCAGAGCAAGTCTGTCCTAGCAAACTGAAAATGAGCTCTCCTTCAATTCCTCTATATGAACTATATGAGACAGTGAAAGGAATAAGATTTTCACGACCCCGAGGTGATACCTTGCAGATCTTCTTGAGCAGCAAACTGAAGAAAAGCACAGATGTTTTGCACTTGAAATAAATTGCCCGGTTTTCCTTAGTTTCAAATTTGAAGCCAAAAGTACAAGGAGGCTACGTTAGCATGGAAAGTCTCTATCAGAGCTTCAGGACTGCATTAGCACAGGCAGACGAGCAGCAGCATATTCTTCAGCTGAGTTCTTATCTCTGTTAAATTCTCTGTCCCTTCAGATTCCTTGTGTGTTTCTTCCATCTTTTATTCAATGGCTGCTGCAGCCTGGGGAGATAGAGGCCATGTAGCCTTCCAGGTTACTTTTAAATCAAACTAACCCTTTCTTGTAGGCGTCTTGGGCCTTCTGCTGCCTTGAAGGTCTATGGATCAGGCTGGTTTCTGATATGAACACTACTAGCATGCACAAGTTGTACATCCCAAAATGTTCTCCCAAAGACACAGCGCTATTTCTGCAGTGGCAGCACACACTGACTGGATCCAGCTCAGTCCACGTGAGAAAAATCTTGAGTTGTGGAGTGAGCTGCCCCGATAACACCAGCAATCAGAGTAGGGTACTGTCGGGACTAGCGTAAAATGGAGGAATAAAACAACTGTTTGCTTTCTTAAATTGTCTTATGAATTTAGCATTATAGCGGTGGGAGAGGGGAGCATAGCAACAGATAATCTGCTTTTTATCTCTCTGCTGGAGGTGGTTTGTGCTCAGTCCCTTAGTTTATTTCTTCTCCTCGGAATGTCATTACTTTTTCATGATAGAGGATAGTTCTAGGAGCATGCTCTGAAAGATAACAAGAGAAAGAAAGGATGAAGCTGAATTGGCTTAAAGGAGAGAAAGAAACGTTATCATAGTATTAACCCAGGTTCCACCACATACATAGTTGAGAAGGTGGGAATCTGGTGTTCAGCTGACAACATGCTTACCTTGTAGGGCTTTGTTCAGTGCTAAGGAGAGGGTGGGCAGAGGGAGAAGACCTTGCTTTTAAACCAAAATAAACACATTAATCCCTGAAGTAGCTTGCTTGAAATCAGTGGACCCATCCTAGAGGCCTTGCTTTACATGTTAAGGGCTTTTGTATATTTTTGATTGCTTTAAAACCATACAAAGATGGACTTAATTAAGTGAGTTCCCCTTTCTAAAATCCAGCTTATCCATTTGTTGCTGCACAAATCCTCAGAGAGGTTCATTAGTTGTCAGCTGCTGCTGACCTCCAAAGTTTATCTGTGTTTGCACAATTGGTGAATGGTTACCTTTGGGTGACCAAGTAGCTTTTGCAGAATAATTGGTACACTGGCTGTCATCAGCATGAGCTTCTCCTTAGTGCTCCAGAGCAGAATAAAATACAACTACTGTGGAATTGAATTTTTTTCTTTTTAAAGAGGTGTTTGCATAGAAAAACTGTACAAAACAAGGTGTAAATGTGACTACCTTTAAGGAGTCTCAAACATCCTAGAGGAACACAGGGTTTTACCAGTCCCTTACCCCACCTGTAGATTTTCCTGGTGGAGCTCAGCTGTCTAAATAACTAACTCCTCCGCAGTTACTAGGTTTGTTATTTCGATGTACATTCACTCTTATCAAACTGTTCCCAGCCCCAGGAGCGAGACCAACTAGTTAAATGAGTGGATATTTATTCCTCAAGTGTTGTTGAAAGGGTGAGTAAACATGCCTTGTTCTGGAGAAGACTGCAAGCATGCAGGCTGAATAGCAGCTCTCTCTTTCATAGCCTGCTCACTACGGAGTATTTTCCCACTGGGTAAAAAGCTCAAAGCTGAATGGAGAATTGAGAAGTAGAAAAAGAATTGAACAGCACAGAGGAATAAAAAAGCAATGCAGTGAGGGAAACTGGACCCAGTGAATCATAAAATTTCCCCAACTTTGGCAGAGCCAGGATTTCAGCCCCAGAGATTTTCTTTTCTGCAAATGAATAAAATCAGCAGCCCTATCTCAGTCCAATTCTATGAGCTGAGAGTATATCAGCTTTACCAGCTGCTTCATTATCAGCTTTATATCTCCCTCATTCACCATGAGGAGGGGGCCTTGCTTTTAAAGACACATTGACTACTTTGAAGCCAAAAATATAGACTTAAAGAAATACCACTCTGAAAGCACGGGGGTCTCTGGAGGAGAGGGTGGGCTAAAGAATAGGGAATGGATGTGAAGGTGAGGAAAACTCAGCACTTCTTGAAAAACAAGAATCTGAAGTTGAGTGCCTAAAATGCCTAATTCTTTCTGAAAATCTTGATCTAGTAATTTTGGTTTCCTGGGAGAGTGGTTCAGCTAAAATATTGCTAAGAATATTATAAATCTTCTAATGACTTCCAAATTTGTTCCGTGATTCCAGGAACTTATCTTGACTCAATGAAGAAACACGACCATTAGATAATGTCAAGTCTCCCCATCTTCTTGGTATATCCTTGGGTACTCTAGCAAGGGGACTAGCACAGTAGTTGTCTCAATGCAGGTTTAGGCTTGGGGTGCAAATGTGATAACCTAGTTCCACCTAAAAGATGGTGCCTTTTTGAGAAGAGTTGCCAATCTAGTGTTAATCCTCCCAATCCCAGTTAACCAAATTAAAACCCATAGGTTTTAGAGCACACCTTAGGATGCCTTAGAAAACTGTTACATATAGACCAAAAAGAACTGACGCTGGACATGCTCAGGTAGCACACGATTTAAGTCCTCTGCTTTAGAAAAGCAGGGAGAGACACACAGCTAGCAAAAGACTTCAAACACAGCTAGCAATGAAATATCACACAGCCTCCAGCTTTTGTAGAAATGTTTGCATTCGGCTGTTGACTTGTGACGACCCTGTGACACTCTGAAGATGCAACACCAGGCTGTGGCCATGCTCAGCTGAGCTTTCTGACGTTCTGCAATTGTTCCTTTGGTTCATTGAAAACGTCTGAGGAGGAAGACTGGTTGATTGTCGCAAAGAGTGACTTTGGAAGCAAAGTTCTCTCCCTCTCTAATTGTTCAATCTCTTATTTTCATCTCCCCAGAGTGAAAAAGAGAGTCAGTCTACCCCTTAGTGCAATGCTCCGAGAGCTAGACGACTATTATATGCTGTAATTTCTGGCCCTGCTTATTTTCAAGAGAGCAAAGATTGTGTCTGTACTAGTTATATACTGACCTTTGACTGCATCAGCCTATTAATTTTATCAGACTTAAAAATGTATCGTGCACCAGTAAAGGGCCTGACTAGTACAATTTTTTTTCCTCATAATGTCATTCATGTGCAGAATCCTGTTGACAGCAGCATAATTCCTACACACCTTTGTATGTCTCTAAGTCCCAGTTGGCATTTCTGACTGTACTTATACTAAATTCAGTGCAGCTCTTTTCAGCGAGTTACGTGTGCAAGGCAGCCATTTAAGGCCAGCTTGCCTCGGGGATGCTGGCAGCCTAGGACCATGCAGAAGGTGCCCTTTTGCTCCATAGCTCCCCTTAAATAAAAGTTAAAATTGGCGAGCGATGCAAAACTTAGGGCAGAACTATGTGTGTACCCACGATATCTCTTAGAAGATAAGATACCATATATTCTCTAAGATGTATCCTCTAAGTGAGCCTTGGAAATTATTAGCTTGGAGCCAGTTATCAGTGAACAAATTGTTTGCTGTCACTTCAAAGCATGCTGACTGTGCTCCTCAGTACCAAGGTGTTGGAGGCTTGCAGATAGCAAGTTTTTAGCTGTACACAGATGCTGAATTCCCCTGTCAATGTAGAGTTTCCTAATGTTATTTATCCCAGGTCTCCATCGAGTTGAGATTAGCTCACCCGTATAGTTGGTGATGCTCTTGTCATTGTGTTTAGGTGGGCTGAAATCAGTTGGAAATTGCCCTCATGTCATGCAGCAACTCTCTCCTCCTACGCTTTTCTGTGTGCTTTCCCTGATGCAATGAAGGTCCAGTTTTCGTGGTCTGTCCTCAGAACCTAATACATTTAAAGTCTGACCAGCAGTGGCTGAAGAAAAAGATGTTTTTCCAACAGATCAGAATTTCTTGAGAAGCCTTTAGCCTAATAAGTTTTTCAAGATTTCTGCCTCTCATTTTTGCTTCCCAAACTGAATAATGGATAACTTTGGACAATGCAATGGCCAAGAAACTGAATGGAGTATGAAGAGTGAGTGGTTTGGGTGTAAAACTAAACATTTGGAGCATAAATATTTTTTCAAGGTTTTATGCCACAGTTGGACATAAAATGAAGAAATGGCTCTTCACCTCCACCAATTCCAGACAAGGAAGTTTTAAACAGCCTTGCTAGCTTGCATTGTGGCCAAACATGGTTGGTCTGTACAAATCCTACCAACGGGAAGGGCATTTCTTCTTTTATGTATATAGCTGGTCTGGTTTGAACCAGAAAAGTTGTCTGAAAAGTTGAGGAATCCTCCTGCCAAACATGCACTTTGTATTCAATATCCTATTGATCTGTTTCATGAGGGTTTTTAGTGAAGGGCTGAATGCATTCTCTCTTAAGGGTCCAAAGTAACCTCTCCTCCAAAGAGAAAGTCCTAAGAAGAATTTCCTGTTCTCTTTGAGGGCTGCAGTTTTGTACTTTCTTGGAAAGAATCACTTGATCAGGATCTGGCCAACTACTATCTACCACCTAGTCTCCATGTTTTGATCAAGAGGATGCAATACATTATGAAAGGTAACTTTTACAACATTTAGTTGTCCCTAAGCATAATTATTTATCTGTCAGAGATTCAGGTGTGGTGTGGAAATGGCATTGATAATATTGCTCAAAAAAATCTCATCACTGGCTAAAAGTCAAGCTTCCATTAGTGTACTGTTAGATCTGTTAGGTGCTTTCAATGGTGTCATGACTGACAGGATGCAGTTGACTTGTATGCAGACTCTTGCAGTATCAGATGGATTGATTTTGTGGAGCTCTGAGGTTTTCTTTCAGCTAAGAAAGCTATGGTGGTGGTGGGCAGTTGCAGTTGTCCTGCTATCTTAGCACAGAGCGTGGGTATGTGTTTGGTTGGAGGTTGCTAGAATGGTTGTTGAGGTATAGAAAGTGGTATTTTCAATGTTGAGTGGATACTCCTCTCTCATTGAGCTAATGCAAAGAATGCTACAGACAAATGCTGGTAGAATGGTATGGATGAAGGGAAAAAGAAAACATTCAAGCCAGTATGGAGGTAAAGACGATAACTTGGGAAAGTTACCAAAGAAAATTGAACAGTGTCAATTGGTTTTTCTCCATTTGGCTGTCCAGCTTAGATTAGTATCATCCAGGTTGGAATAGACTGTATTTTGGCTGTTTAGAAAATGTTGGTGCGTGTGCATTCATTGTTATGTTAAAAAGTGTCTGTCCTTTCTCTGCATTACTGTTGCAAGTCACTGTTGATCAGGCATGGCTGATTTTGTGTGCTTTAGTTGAAGCTTTTAAATACAATTCCTTTTAAATACTTTTTTTTAAGTTAGTATCACTAATTTTTGAATGCTCCTGTCACACAGATAAAGCTAACCATGCATATTTTTCGTTTATCTAAACATTAATACATGATGATTGTCTCCTGGAAGCCCAATGAAAACAAATCAAATCAATGCTGAGTGCCTTTGACACCCAAGACTAAATAGTGAATATAGGAATTGGGAAATACAGACCAGAAGGACAGACAAGATTTAATGCCCAGATTCGACATTTTTATGACGCAACAGCATATTTGTGCCTTGAAACTGGTATTCATAAGATGCTGTAGCAATGCTAGCAATAAAGTGCATTTGCCAGAATATTGACTCAATTATATATAGAAGCACCTTTGCTTTAAAATATCATGTGCTGTAAACAGGAAGCTACAGGTAGCGTACCTACATAAGTCATATTTTAAAATGCTAGTACCAGTCCCATACATAATGATCCCCAAAGGCAGCATGCCAAAAGAGTGTTACTTTCAGGAGTAATGACATTGCTTTGCAAACTGCCTGTATTTCTCTGTATATTGTGGAAACTAGAACTCCATGAAAACTAGAACCCACAAACAGTTTTTTGGATGAGCAATGTGTAAGAGTGCCTTCTGCTTCTTACCACAAAATATTTTAAGTTGTTTGGTTGGTTGGTTGGTTTTGTTAGATTTATATTTAGGAAAAGTATTTAATTTTAGAAAGAGTGGGGAAAAATTGAACAGAATCTATAACTTTGAGTACTGTGTGAAGTAATCTTCTCTTTATTACATGCCCTCTAAAAAGGTATTTAAGGGCTTGCTCCTGCATGCATTTGTAAAGGAGCTTTTTTGCTCCTAGAGGACAAATCCCATGATCTGGGGCAATCAGAATTCAAAGTACTTTAAAAAAAAAAAAACCAACCCTCGTTTGTTCTTGAATGCAAGCACTAAATCTTATCAACACTCACTGTAAGCAAGCTTAGAGTGTGTGGCCAAAGAATAGGAACAGCTGCTGAAACTGCAGTTCTGTAGTCATTGGCTCTGGCATTGCAATTATTTGGTGTTTTATATGTAGATCTTTTGATTTATTCATTGAGCAATTATTCAACTCGGTGGTTGCCCCTGGGAGAAACCCCCTGAAGCTGAGAGAGGCTGAGCCACTGAACTCAACGCACTCAAGACTTCTCTTTCTTATGGTGTCAAGCAGGCTGGAGCTGAGCAAGTTTCCCTTGGGACAGTCCTTGTCGAGTCGATTGGGGTGATGTAATGAGTAAAAAGGAGCTGAGATTCGGTGACTTAAGAGATCCTCAGGACTCGGTAACTTCCCAGTGATGGTTTTGCTTTCACCGTAGAAGGGGACCAAGCGTGCGGGAGGAGCTCGGCTTGGTGCGGGAGCTCGGCTTGGTGCGGGAGGATGCGAGGCGCTGGGGCCGTGTCGCAACTCCTGCCAAGGCCTCCCCG